GCCCTACCATCCCCCAGCCCTGGGAGCTTCGAGTGCCAGAAGGTGAATGAGAGCTGGGTAAAACAAGAGGTTTAAGGACTCCAGTGGTGCGTGGAGCTCTGCAGTCATCTTTGTCTCGTTTTGCAGATGCACTGTTAGGCTCAGAGATTGCACAGGTAACTGGGAATGATGTGGACTCTGGACCGGTGCTGTGGTATGTGCTGAGCCCATCTGGGCCTCAGGATCCCTTCAGTATTGGCCGCTATGGAGGGCGTGTCTCCCTCACGGGACCCCTGGACTTTGAGCAGCGTGACCACTACTACCTACAGCTGCTGGCACATGATGGACCTCACGAGGGCCATGCCAACCTCACAGTGCTTGTGGAGGATGTCAATGACAATGCACCTACCTTCTCACAGAGCCTCTACCGGGTACCAACTTTTGGATGTCCGTACACTGGGTCTGGGGTTGTTCTTGTTGGAAGGATTGTGACAGAGTTAGAAGTTTCTTGACTGGGTGGTTGTTAGAGTTGATCTGGGAATAGGGTGGGGAGTATTCCATTTCAAACCAGTTTTCCAGGTCCTATGAACAATGTCCAAAGTTCAGACATTGTTCAATCCTGGGGCCAGAAGAAAGTGGGCAGTTCTTATTCCAGTGCTAAGGAGTATGGCTCTAGGACTGGAATGGACACCAAGCAGGGCTCATGGGACCAATCTCCAGCTCATAGGCTGAGGGGAACAGCAGGGCAGCTGGGAAGCTTGGTCATGAATACTTTTCTTCATACCTCAGGTATTGATGCCTGAGCACACTCCTCCAGGCAGTGTCATTCTGTCTGTCTCTGCCACTGACCGAGACTCAGGTGCCAACGGTCACATCTCCTACCACCTGGCTTCCCCTGCTGAGGGTTTCAGTGTCGACCCCAACAATGGTACGTCCTCCCCAGAATCTGATCCCTTGATCTTCAACTGTATTGGGCCATATTTGGAACTCATTCCTAAAATTTATTACCTGATACCTTGACTTCTATGTCTCTGACTCAAGGAGGACATTCTCCCCTCTCTGTCTTTAATAACAGTCCTTCCTGACTATATGTCTGAAAGCTGTTTACTGAGCTTTGAATCTCTGAAAACTGTCCCAAAAGTCCAATTTCCAAAGCCATTACCTAGACCCTGAAGAGTCATCCTCTTGCTGACAAAGCCATTGCTGAATGCATATCTCCTTCCCTTCCCTCCTTAGGAACTCTGTTCACAACAGTAGGAGCAGTGGCCTTGGGCCACAAGGGACCAGGAGTGGTGGATGTAGTGCTCGAAGCTCGAGACCATGGGGCTCCAGGCCGGGCAGCTCGGGCTACAGTGCATGTGCAGCTGCAAGACCAGAATGACCATGCCCCAAGCTTCACATTGCCACACTATCGTGTGGCTGTGTCTGAAGATCTGCCCCCTGGCTCCACCCTGCTCACCCTGGAGGCCACAGATGCTGATGGAAGCCGTACCCATGCTACCGTGGACTACAGCATCATCAGTGGCAATAAGGGGCGAGCCTTCCAACTGGAACCCCGGCTAGCTGAGGCTGGAGAGGGTGTTGGATCAGGTCCCCAGGCATTGGGCTGCCTGGTATTGCTTGAGCCTCTAGACTTTGAAAGCCTGACACAGTACAATCTAACTGTAGTTGCAGCTGATCGGGGACAGCCATCCCGCAGTTCAGCTGTGCCAGTCACTGTCACCATACTGGATGTCAATGACAACCCACCTGTTTTTACGCGAGCATCCTACCGTGTGACAGTACCTGAGGACATGCCTGTTGGAGCTGAACTATTGCATGTGGAGGCTTCTGATGCTGACCCTGGTCCTCATGGTCTTGTGCGTTTCACCCTCAGCTCAGGTGACCCTTTAGGGCTCTTTGAGCTGAATGAGAGTTCAGGTGCTTTGAGACTGGCCCACCCTCTGGACTGTGAGACCCAGGCTCGACATCAACTTGTAGTACAGGCAGCTGATCCTGTTGGGGTGCACTTTGCTTTGGCACCAGTGACAATTGAGGTCCAAGATGTGAATGACCATGGCCCAGCCTTCCCACTGAACCTGCTCAGCACCAGCCTGGCCGAGAATCAGCCTCCAGGCACGCTTGTGACCACTCTGCATGCAATTGATGGGGATGCTGGGGCTTTTGGTAAGCTCCACTATAGCCTATTGGAGGCAGGGCCAGGACCTGAGGGCCGTGAGGCATTTGCACTGAACAGCTCAACAGGGGAATTGCGGGCACGAGTGCCCTTTGACTATGAGCACACGGGAAGCTTCCGGCTGCTGGTGGGTGCTGCTGATGCTGGGAATCTCTCAGCCTCTGTTACCGTATCTGTGCTGGTGACTGGAGAAGATGAATACGACCCTGTATTCCTGGCTCCAACTTTCCACTTTCAAGTTCCAGAAGGTGCCCAGCGTGGCCACAGCCTGGGTCATGTGCAGGCCACAGATGAGGATGGAGGTGCTGATGGCCTGGTGCTCTATTCACTGGCCACCTCTTCCCCCTATTTTGCTATCAACCAGACTACAGGTGCTTTGTACCTGCGGGTGGACAGTCGGGCACCAGGAAGTGGACCCGCCACCTCTGGGAGTGGCGGCCGGACCCGGCGTGAAGCACCTCGGGAACTAAGGCTGGAGGTGGTAGCACGGGGCCCTCTGCCTGGATCTCGGAGTGCCACTGTACCTGTGACTGTGGATATCACCCACACTGCCCTGGGCCTGGCACCTGATCTCAACCTGCTATTGGTGGGGGCTGTGGCAGCCTCCTTGGGAGTTGTAGTGGTGCTTGCCCTTGCAGCTCTGGTTCTGGGGCTTGTTCGGGCCCGTAGCCGCAAGGCTGAGGCAGCCCCTGGCCCAATGTCACAGGCAGCACCCCTAGCCAGTGGCTCCCTACAGAAGCTCGGCCGGGAACCCCCCAGTCCACCACCCTCTGAACACCTCTATCACCAGACTCTCCCCAGCTATGGTGGGCCAGGACCCGGAGGGCCTTACCCCCGTGGTGGCTCATTAGACCCTTCACACTCAAGTGGTCGAGGCTCAGCAGAGGCTGCAGAAGATGACGAGATCCGCATGATCAATGAGTTTCCCCGAGTGGCCAGTGTGGCTTCCTCCCTGGCTGCCCGTGGCCCTGACTCAGGCATCCAACAGGATGCGGATGGACTGAGTGACACATCCTGTGAGCCACCTGCCCCTGACACCTGGTATAAGGGCCGAAAGGCGGGGCTGCTGTTGCCAGGTACAGGAGCCACTCTATACCGAGAGGAGGGCCCCCCAACCACCGCCACAGCCTTCCTGGGGGGCTGTGGCCTGAGCCCCGCACCCACTGGGGACTATGGCTTCCCGGCAGATGGAAAGCCATGTGTGGCCGGTGCACTGACAGCCATTGTGGCTGGCGAAGAAGAGCTTCGTGGCAGCTATAACTGGGACTACCTGCTGAGCTGGTGCCCTCAGTTCCAGCCACTGGCCAGTGTCTTCACAGAGATTGCTCGGCTCAAGGATGAGGCTCGGCCATGCCCCCCTGCTCCCCGTATTGACCCACCACCCCTCATCACTGCTGTGGCCCACCCAGGAGCCAAGTCTGTGCCCCCCAAGCCTGCAAGCACAGCTGCAGCCCGGGCCATCTTCCCACCAGCCTCTCACCGCTCCCCCATCAGCCATGAAGGCTCCCTGTCCTCAGCCGCCATGTCCCCCAGCTTCTCACCCTCGCTGTCTCCTTTGGCTGCTCGCTCACCCGTTGTCTCACCATTTGGGGTGGCCCAGGGCCCCTCAGCTTCAGCACTCAGTGCAGAGTCTGGCCTGGAGCCGCCTGATGACACGGAGCTGCACATCTAGCTGTGGCCCAGGCTGGGCCCCGACCTGGGACACGCACAGTGTCCCCAATGCAGGCCCCACTCTGAGCCTGTCCTGGGCAGCCTCGGACCATGACTGGCCATGGGGAGGCCACCACCAATCCCCAGCTCTCGACCCTAAACTCTTCCAGTGGGGGCAGGTCCCACATTTCACCCCAGTTCCCTCAAAGCACTAGGACCACAGAGGGTCTGTTGGTCACTGACCTGTGTGGGGAGAAATAAGGAGGCAGCAGCCCTGAGTTCTCTTCAGTGAGGACTTCCTGCCCTGCACCAACACCCTGTGATGGAGCTGAGACTTTATTTATTGGGGGGTAGGGGGGTGGAGAAAGTCTCTCCAACCTGTTTGGGCCCAGCTCATTTGGGTTCCACTTAACCCCTGCCCCTGCCCAGAACAAGTGCCAATTCTCACTCTGGAGCCTTAATAAACTGCAATTTGTATCTAGCCTCCGGCTCTGTTCTGTGGGGATAACCAGAAGTTATCCTGGCATGGTACTTTGGGTACCTCAAGAGGCCCAGAGGGATGGTGTGGATGGGGACATCTGGGGTGGGAGTAGCACTGGGAGCTCAGGAGTCAAGCTTTAGACTCTCTGGAGTCCATCCTTTCCCTCTAACATGGGTAACACCTGGGTAGAAGCTCAGATGTAGCAGCTTTCTAGGGTTCTAATTCTGAGAGTCTGAAAAGGAGTGGGAGTGGTTAAAAAGCAGGGGAATGAGGAGAACCCTACCGTCGCTCACAACACACACCTTGAGACTGAGAAATGCCCACATTATGGTAAGAGCTCGAGTTTGATGAGTCTTCACCAGGTCAGGTTCTCTGTTCAATGATTCACTTGCTTTATCTCTGTCAATTTTCATTGCAACCCAGAGGCAGATAATTTTTATATAACAGCTGCTGAACTGTAAATGAAGAAACCTAGGCTGTTTTTTTTTTTTAAGAGATTTAAAAAAAAATTGCACATCCAAGGATAGCCCACATCCACAGGCCTTCAGAGCCCACTCCCTTGAGATTCCTTGAGAGACAGATTCAGGGAGTGACTGAGGAGCTCCAGGGTTAGGTGCTGAACAAGGCCTGGGAGAGGAGGAATTCTAGTAGCAGCCCCAGCATTAGGAGGGAGGAGTCAGCACCGTCACTAGTTACTAGGCAGGGAGATGACCTTGGTGAAAGACAGTGGGCATGTGACTTGTCACATGACTACAGATCAGCCAGAAAGCCGGAATGGGACTCCAAGCCTGGTGAGAAATTGTGGGGAGGGCCGGTAAAAGGGATTATGTTAGAGGGGTTATAGGTTAGAAAGTGGGAACATAGTGACAGTTCAACTCCTGATGAAGCCCACCTGCCATCCCTGCAGCCTCCTAGGGTTCCTTGCCCTCGTCATCGCCAGCAAATGCAATTACAGCCCAGAGCCGGACCAGCGGTGGACGTGAGTTGATTTAGCACTGGCTGTTCCCTTCCCCATATCCCTTTCTGCATCTGCTATCCTGGTTCTAGCAGCCCTCGCCAGCACAGCAGCTCCTGGTACCCACTCCATAGCCTTATCGTTTATCTCTTAGGCTTAATCTCCTGTCATTCATTTCCTTGTCTTCCTTTGGACTCCCAACCAGAAGAGAGACTCAGCTTCCTATCCTGAATCTTACATGATCTGTATTTCCCATCTATAGCCTAACCAAGTCGTGTCCCTGACCCTGCAGGCTGCCCGCAGGCTGGGTGTCCCTGGGCCGTGTGGACCCTGAGGAAAAGCTGAGTCTCACTTTTGCCCTGAAACAGCAGAACGTCAAGAGACTCTCGGAGCTGGTGCAGGCTGTGTCGGATCCCAGGTCTCCTCACTACGGTGCCTATCCCAAGTGGGGCAGGAAGTGGGAGGCGGGCTGGGCAGGCCCCGGCTGGTGCAGATCATGTAAAGTCATATTTCTGGTATGGCAGATAAATGGCAGCAACTGCCACATTCTTCAAATACACATGCGTGCAAGCAACCATCAAGAGCATCCTGGGACAGCAAGATTGCTCAGACTTACCACCGAGCCTGACAACCTGAGTTCAGTCCCTGGAACCACATAGTGGAAGGAGAGGGAAGACCCCTGTAAATTTTCCTCTAACCTCTACATATATGCCCTAGTGACACACACACACACACACACACACACACACACACACACACTAAATTTTCCAAATCTAAAACCCATCATGTAACTCTAGGACTGGTGGGATAGGCAGGAGGATTTTGAGTCCAAGGCCTGTCTGAGCAGTGTAGCAAGACCCAATTTGAAAACTTTTTAAAATGGAGAGTGGGGCTTTGGATATAGCTTAGAGGTAGGACACACCTAGCAGATGCCAAACCCTAGGTTCAGCCCCCAGTAAGGGGAATAGGAAGTAGACATGGTTCCAAGCCCAGGCTTTATGACCAGATCTAGATTGAAACTTTGACTTCTACTTCCCATCTACCAGAAATAACAATATGTATAAGTGCCTATCATTTCAACTTCCTTCTTCCACTTTCAAATATCCTCGCACGTCCTCCTGTTTATGCACTGAAGCTGAAGTTCAGCTCCTAAATTGCCTTTCAATGAATCCATTCTGGCCATCCCCTCACTGCCACCAACTTAGTTGTTTACCCTCTCCTGGAAGACTGCCCAGCACCGTGACTGTCTGCAGTTTCCTCTCCTCCACACCCGTCCTCAGAGCACTCCTCACTCTATTCCAAAACATTCCCTCTGGTGGTCAGGCTGGACTGGATCCTGCCCCTGCTTCAAGCCCTTCATGGCAAGGCAAGGATGTGTCTCTGTGTGTGAAGAATGGAGGCGGGGGAGACATTTCAGGTCACCCAAGAAGCTCCATGCATTCAGGAAATAGTGACTCACCATCGTAACTATGAAGATTTGAGCTAAATTAGATGTTATTGTATAATTGGCTTCAAAAGTTTGGAAAACTTTTTTGGGGAGATAAGCTTAAAATGGAATTTTTTAACTTTATTAACCTCTTTATTTCCTGAGCATGGCCAGTGCACTCTGTGGTGCAACATGTGCAACCCTGCCAGCCATCAGAGTAAATCATACTTCTTGGTCATAGCATTCCAGGGCTCTCCAGCCTTTTCTTCCCTTAGACCCCACTCCATCAGCACCTACACAGCCTCTTTGGGAAATCCTGATGTAAAGACAAGATCCTCTTCTGAATCCTGCAGGAAAACACCTGACCTTAGAGGATGTAGCTGAGCTGGTCCAGCCATCACCACTGACCCTTCAAACTGTCCAAAAATGGCTCCTGGCAGCTGGAGCCTGGAACTGCCATTCAGTGACCACACAAGACTTTCTGACTTGCTGGATGACTGTGCGGTGAGAAGTAATGATTGCCCCATGGAGGGCATCAATCATCCCATCAAAGAGACTAGACACCCCAGAAGAAGGGAGTTGCAAGCTTGAGGACAGCATGTGGATGGCAGCTAATGCCCAGAGATGACTGGAGCCACCTCTGCTCCCTTCCGTTTCTGACTTCTGTTTTGTGATCTTTGACCTCCAGACAGGCAGAACTGTTGCTCCCTGGGGCTGAGTTTCATCGCTATGTAAGGGGACCTACAGAGACCCATATTATAAGGTCACCACATCCCTACCAGCTTCCTCAGGCCTTGGCCCCTCATGTAGACTTTGGTAAGCCCAGTGGGGTTGGTAAGGGTTGGAGAAGGCAAATGTAGATGCTGGAGAAGTTTAGATACCACAGGGGGAGGGGTATGAGGTGTTGTCAGTGATAGAGTACTGGTGTCTGTAAGATCACCTCCTTAAACTTGAACTCTTTCTATAGTGGGGGGACTACACCGCTTTCCCCCCACATCATCCCTGAGACAACGCCTTGAGCCACAAGGGGCAGGAACTGTTGACCTGCACCTGGGAGTGACTCCCTCTGTGATCCGTCAGCGATACAATCTGACAGCACGAGACGTAGGTTCTGGCACCACCAACAACAGCCAGGCCTGTGCCCAGGTGAGCTGAGCAGTCTTAGGGTCCTCAAAGCCTCTTTAAGGTATCTTAAGTGCCTTACTACCCTGGGTTCTACCTTCTGATCCATGATTCCTACTTTGATTCTTTCCATAGTTCCTGGAACAGTACTTCCATAACTCAGACCTGGCCGAGTTCATGCGCCTGTTTGGTGGTGATTTTGCACACCAGGCATCAGTAACCCGTGTGGTTGGAAAACAGGGCCGAGGCCGAGCTGGGATTGAGGCCAGTCTGGATGTGGAATATCTGATGAGTGCTGGTGCCAACATCTCCACTTGGGTCTACAGTAGCCCTGGTATTGCTAAAAGAACTAGCAAGGGGGTGGGGACAGTAGATTGATCTCTGCTCCATCAAGGGTATAATACCATGGTGTGGAAAGAGATCCTAGCAACCCTCCAATGACCACCCATACTCCTACTGTCTTTTAAAAAATTACAGGCCGACATGAAGCACAGGAGCCCTTCCTGCAGTGGCTCCTGCTTCTCAGTAATGAGTCAACTTTGCCACATGTGCATACCGTGAGCTATGGAGATGATGAAGACTCCCTTAGCAGTGCCTACATCCAGAGAGTCAACACGGAGTTCATGAAGGCCGCTGCCCGGGGTCTCACCATGCTCTTTGCCTCAGGTGACCTCCTACCCTCAACTTGAACTTCCCTCCCACCCCACCTGGGAGCTTTAACCCAACTGACCCTTCAGCCTGGTTCCTGACTCACAATATGAACTCAGGTCATATCAGTAAAAAGGAGTATTGGCATGATCTCTAAACTCTGGCTTGCAGTAAGAGTTGATACCTGCAGTTCCTCTCTGGCATATGAGCCTACCTGAATGTTCCATGTGCCTCTCCAGGTGACACTGGAGCTGGGTGCTGGTCTGTCTCTGGAAGACACAAGTTCCGTCCTAGTTTCCCTGCCTCTAGGTAAGCCGCCACAGATCTTCCACCTGTGACTCTGATACCTCCCAGATGCTTCTGTTGCTCAGCCTTCGCTTTACCTGTCGGGGCTGCTGTATTCCCATCTTTTTCCTCTATGACTCAGGTTCCTAGACTTCTGAGAGGAACATGGCCATCAATGTTTTTCTTCCACAGTCTCTAGGCATTTTAGTTGCAGTTTTTATTTTTAGTACAGAAAGTATACACAGCCAAATCAACCCATGACTTGAGGATTCCCAACTTCTTAGTAAACCCCTTATACATGCTTCCTCACAGAGTCTGGCCCCTCCAATAAGACTCAGACCATTATTTGTGTATCTCCATATACCTTGGAGGGCCCTCTGGATCCCCTATCTGAATACTGTCTTCTCCTTCAGCCCTTATGTCACCACAGTGGGAGGCACCTCCTTCAAGAATCCTTTCAAAGTCACAAATGAGATAGTTGACTACATCAGTGGTGGTGGCTTCAGCAATGTCTTCCCACAGCCTTCATACCAGGTATGTGCATGTTCATGTGGCTATGTCGGAGGCTGGGGCAGTCCTCAGTTCATGGGCTGCTGAGCACCTACAAGCCAGTACTCACTCAGAAATGACCTTCAGGAGGAGGCTGTAGCCCAATTCTTGAAGTCCAGCTCTCATCTACCACCATCCAGCTACTTCAATGCGAGTGGCCGTGCCTATCCCGATGTTGCTGCACTTTCTGATGGCTACTGGGTGGTCAGCAACAGTGTGCCCATCCCATGGGTATCTGGAACCTCGGTAAGAATCAGCCTGGCTCCAAACCCTTTCACTCAGGAACTGCACTCACTCCCCTATCCACAAAGCCTTGCACCCAGAACCCGACTCCTTAGGGACCTCTGATCTTTCCAAGCATCACTCCCCAAAAGTCCAGTCACTGAAAAACCCTTACTTACTGTTGCATCTTCACCTTGCAGGCTTCAACTCCAGTGTTTGGGGGAATTTTATCCTTGATAAATGAGCACAGAATCCTCAACGGCCGCCCTCCTCTTGGCTTTCTTAATCCCAGGCTCTACCAACAGCATGGGGCAGGACTCTTTGATGTGAGTGTGGAGAGGAAGAGTGTAGATGTTGTCGTGGGATATGGGAAGGGCTAATGTGAATTTGGGAGGCAATTTTGATATGGTGGGATAGGCTCTGAATTATGGCTATAAGGTGTACTCTGATAATACTGATACCAGCAGGCCCAGATCTGATGCCCACCATCTGTTCCCTAGGTAACCCATGGCTGCCATGAGTCCTGTCTGAATGAAGAAGTGGAGGGTCAAGGTTTCTGCTCTGGTTCTGGCTGGGATCCTGTGACAGGCTGGGGGACACCCAATTTCCCAGCTCTCCTGAAGACCCTACTCAACCCTTGACCCTTTCTTGCTAGGAAAGCTGAACTGTCCCCTGTACCACAGGAGATGGTTCAGTCCTTTATTCTGCCTTGGTGGAAGCCCTGCTGAACTCTCAACTGTTCCTGCTGCAGACAGCTTCTTCCTAACCCTGAAACGCTGTGAGTAGGACTTGGCTCAGCCTACTGTGCTCCATCATACTCAGGACTCTCAACTCTTGCCACAAGTTCCCTAGTAAGATGGTAGAACCAGCATACTTTGTCTCACCCCATCCCCATCTCTTCTTCCTCTTTTCAACCAGAGGTGTGAATATCATGTGAGGAGGTATAGTCTGTCATTACTAGTACTAGCAGGCCCAGATCTGATGCCTACCACCCCTCTACACTGTGGCTCAATTTCTCTTCAAGTTTGCTTCTCAGTTCCCTACAATGAGACTTCTGCTCTCAACTTTTAGACTTCCCTCCCCTGACATTGGGGAGCTTTTATCCAGTGTACAGCTTTTATCCAGTGTACACTTTTCTCAACCTTTGTTTTATGTTGTTTTTTTTTTCAAAGAATAGAATTAATTGACAATCTCATAAATAATCTAAAAAAATTCAAATTTTGTTATCTTAAAATGTGTTCTCACTGGTAAAATTCTTCAACAAAATAAATGGGTCACTACAAATGAATGTCACATTTAAAATTTTCTTCAACACTTTTGAAAAATAATTTTTAAATTTACATTCGATTTCCCCCCTCCTTGGCTACAGCAAATCAACAATCAGTTTTTATCTCAGCCAGTAGACATACAAACTTCTAGCTTCTGTGAACCTGGGTTTGGGCTCTTTCGGTCAAGTTTTCCATTCGTTCTTTTTCCTTAGCTTCCAAACAAGCTAGTACCCTCTTGCCCTTAACTTTCATTGCACTTCCATACTGACTTTGAACAGTTCTACTGACATTCCCCTCACGTATATCTTTATCAACCCAAACTCCTTCCAGTTGAATTTCCTCAGGATATCTAGATTCTACAAAGTCTACATCTCTCATTCCTCAGTGCCAGCACATTAACTTTGAACACCATGCTTTCTCCTCTGAATTACTGGAAACTCTTGGGAACAACAACAACAACAACAACAACAAAAAAAAACAGTATATCTGACTTTCTGCCTATGGATAAATCATTTTCCAAGTCAAGCAGGTCAAGCAGTATAGTTACTTGTACAAGTTAACTTGTAAAGTTAAGGCTTTTTATAACAGCTTACATACTTTCCTTGCTATTTCTTGAGTTAACGAATCACTTTTCTTTTGCTCTCCATAAACTTCCAAGGGAAACTAATCCAGCTGACACCACCCCTGACACAACTGCCTTTTTGATTTCCAGAATTCTTTCAAGTTAGCTCGGAAGTCACATTACCGGAGGCTAGTTGATTTTGCTACAGCAGAAAAGTCTTTTTTTAAAGGCAAACCTGGTTGAATTTTAGTTCTGATATAGACTGGAAGAGACCTTGTTTAAGTAAGTTTATGCTTCCTTGTTAAGTACATCAATACCTGCCTTTCAAAATCAGGAAATAATTGACGATAATGTCTGACACCAGGAAGTAGGCAGGTATTAGCTCCCTTTTTTCCTTACAAGGAACATCCTGAGGGAATCAGGAAGAAATGACAGCCTCTGACTCCTGGAAGCGAGCAGGCATTCGCTCCCTTCCTTCCTTGCACTGCACAACCTGCACCTACCTGTAGCAGGGTAACGGCAATACAGAATTGAAATTGTCAGCGTTTGCCTCCCTTTCCAAGACCGTTGGTGCCTAGAAGACTAGACTCTTATCGCACTAAATTTTGTATCGCCAAGTCCTAGCACAGGAGTTTGCAAATAGGAATTAAATAAACGACTGTTAAATTGAAAATCTGCTTCACTCGCTGGGATTTTTCTTCTGAATGAAATACCCTGCTGTCTCCATCTACAGCAGCACTCTCCGGGAGCACTCGGGGGTGGAAGGACACAGAGGGCTGGCAGGACACTCCAGCTCCACTACACTAGGGCTGAGGCAGGGAACTAGGAAGAAGAAAGCTGGTCAGGTGAACCGTCGAGAAGTGTCCCACCAAGGTCTGTACACTCAAGTGAAGTGTGCAGTCTCGCACGCCCCGGGTATGAGGTTGGGGGCTGCGACCAAGCACGGTTCCCAGTCCCGCCTCCGCCGCGGAGCCTACAAGGTGAACCGTCGAGAAGTGTCCCACCAAGGTCTGTACACTCAAGTGAAGTGTGCAGTCTCGCACGCCCCGAGTATGAGGTTGGGGCCTGCGACCAAGCACGGTTCCCAGCCCCGCCTCCGCCGCGGAGCCTACTACACCTAAGCCGGAGGCAAGGCAACGCGAGGTCGCGGGACGGCGACGCTACGGAACGTGCGTCAGAGCGGCGGTGACCGTGACGTCACCAAGACGCGCGCCAGGCGAGCGGAAGCGGAAGCGGCTCTGTTCGCCGCCTCTCCCACAGGCCCGATGAGCTGCAGCGGGTCCGGCGCGGACCCCGAAGGGGCCCCGTGGCGGCGCGCGCCGGGGAGCCGGCCGAGCGGCGCGGGGCGGGTGAGAACCGGGACGGGTTAGGGAGTGGACTGGGCCCGGCGGCGGCTGCGGGCCGAGGGTGAGCGGCCCGCCACGCGGACGCCCGCGCCTCCACTCCGGTCTGTTTGCCGATTCTCCTCCAGCCCCGGTGGCGGCGGGCGGCGCGGCGCCCCCGGAGGGAGCGATGTCTAACGGGGTCTACGTCCTACCGAGCGCCGCCAACGGAGAGGTGAAGCCCGTGGTGTCCAGCACACCTCTGGTGGACTTCCTGATGCAACTGGAGGACTACACGCCTACGGTGGGCTTCCCGCCAGTACCAGGCCATCCGGCCCGCTGTCATGCCAGCTTCAACCACCTCTTCGTGCTTCCCAGCGTCCTCTGCTACCCTGCTCATTCTCGTTTTATTCCTTTGCCCATTGAACCTCACCCGCCTTCCCTCCCAGCTCAGCAGAGCAGAGGCTAACGTTGATCCTGTCATTTGACTTCTCAGATCCCCGATGCAGTGACTGGTTACTACCTGAACCGCGCTGGCTTTGAAGCTTCAGATCCACGCATGTGAGTAAACCCAGGGCAGAATACAGTTTTGGGTACTCGGTGAAGTTATACATCTCATCCCCTCCCCCTATTTTTTCCTCTTTAGAATTCGGCTCATCTCTTTAGCTGCGCAGAAATTCATCTCCGATATTGCCAATGATGCCCTACAGCACTGCAAAATGAAGGGCACGGCTTCTGGCAGTTCCCGGAGCAAGAGCAAGGTGTGAAAGGAGGTTCACTTGAATCAGTAACTACTTTCCACCGCAGTACAGGCTTGACTTACACTGAATCCTTTTGGGAAAACTGCATCCTAGGGGAGGTATAAGCAAGGCCTACTCAGGGTCACCCAAGAGGGATTGAAATCTGGGATTGCTGTGCTCAGCTGGTGCTCTTCCCTCTTCCCTCAGGACCGCAAGTACACTCTAACCATGGAGGACTTGACCCCTGCCCTCAGCGAGTATGGCATCAACGTGAAGAAGCCGCACTACTTCACCTGAGCCACCCAAATCAGATGTACTTGGCTGTCCCTATATCCCCACACCAGCCTGTTTTCATAATAAACTTTATTGTGACAGGCGGGGCTGATCTCTCCCAAGTTGGGAGACACCGTGTGGCAAGTGACAAAGCTCTGAGCCCAGCCCCTTTAGGGGCCACAGTGGTAGGGATGGGGGCAAGGGATGGGCCCCATTGCTGGGGTAGTACCATGACTGGAGGCAGGGGAGGCAAACCAGAGGGCTTCAGCTATGAGGAAGTGCACTCCCCCAACCATGTCTTGATGCCTCTGGAGTTTGTACAAGGACTTTCCAGTCCTACTTGTCCTGCATCTTCTCCAGGATAGGCACAATCATGTCAAACTTGGGTCGTTTAGCAGGGTCTTCATTCATGCAAATCTTCATGAGCTTACACACATGGGGGGAAATACCTGGTGGGATAGTAGGCCGAAGGCCTTCCAGTGCCACCTGCAAATTCAAGGAAAAAAGAGGTGAGCCTCAGAATTTGGGTTTTGTTGTATGGACAGGATTACTGTATATTTGAACAAATTATGGGAGGAGCCTAGGCTGACTATACTGACCATCAGCACCACTCACTATGCAAGTTATGTGCAGTTCCGTGCTCACCTTCATCCCAATTTCCATGTTGGAGAGGTCAGCAAAGGGTACCTCTCGTGTCACCAGTTCCCACAGAAGCACTGCAAAACTCCACATGTCTGCTGAGCGTCTGTTTGTGTCTTCAGGCTTCTTCTGCAGGGCTGGAGGAATAGGGCTTATGTGTTCCAGCTGCCTAGCTGTCCTAGCTCTGTATCTTCCATGATTAATGAGCTAGTTCTCAATTTCCCAACATGATGCCCTCACCCACCTTCAGGGGCCACCCAGGCAGGTGCATACATGCGCCCAGGGCACTGGAAAGAAAACTTGACATCAGCCATGCTGATTCTTGCAGTCATGTCCTCATCGATCTGAGAAAGAAGGGATACATTCAAGGTGAGTCCTATTCTAGACAGGCAAAGAGCTTTGGGAACTTGGGTCAGAAATGAACTTGGTGGCCTCACCATTACACTACGGCTGTTGAGTGCATGTCGAGGTATGAGAGGCTCTAGCGTGTGTAGGAAAGCCATGCCTCTTGCCATATCCAAAGCAAACTTCACAGCTTGGCTCTGGTCTACCACAAAATCTTAACAAGAGGCAAGAGTCAACAGTTTAGAGGCTACCACACTATTCCAGCCCATCCCTAACAAGACCAACATCCTTACTGGTGCCTTCATGTAGTACATTGTAGAGAGATCCATATGGCATCCAGTGTGTGATGAGGGTCGGGTGGGGAGCAGGTGGAGCCTGACAGGCACCCAGCACTGGAAGCACATTTGGATGTGAAAAAATCCTGGGAGAGGGAAAGAGTGGTGAGACCCAACATAAAGGTTTTCCTTTCTCGGTTCTATGTGGGGCTCCTTGAAAACAACAGCTTCCAGTTTAGACCTTGCCCCACCTGAGCCGAGGACACTCTTCATTGAAGTCTCTGCTTTTCCTTGTACTCCAGTCTCGAACCTTCAGCACCTTCATGACAATGTCAGTTCCCTGCCAGCGGCCCTTCCATAGCTTAAGAACAGGTAACAGGAGGCATTAGCCAAGGCTACTACTTCCTTCCCACTAACAGGAGGAAAACCTTAGGTACAGAGTGGATAGTCTGGAGGGTTAGGGAGGGAGGGACACGAAAGGCAGGATCACCTCTCCAGAATGATTCTCGTTGAGCTTTGCCAAAAAGTTGAGCTGCTTGAAGTCAATACCAGAATGTTTGTTCAGGGTCCCATTTCCTGAGAATGCAGGCAGTCAGGTACCCAACTTAGCACTATCCCAACCCCAAGAACCCAGGATTTGGTATTGTAACTCCTCCCCTGACAGCTGTGACTCACGGGGCCGAGTGCGGGTGGTCCCCTTCCAGAATGTGTCCTTGTATGGAATACGGTTGAGATTCTGGCCCATCTTCTCTGCCCGTTCTGGGGAAGAAAAGTCTTAGGCAGTCTGAGTTGTAGTACAGTGAGAAGGGATAGGTGAGACAGGACAAGAAAAAGACATGGGCCAGAATGGGCATGGACCTCGGAGAAGCTCTCTCAGGGGCGCCTTGGCTTTGTCCACAGGCATCTCTCCATACTTGTTACAGATGCTTACAAGAGCCCCGTTAGCCACTAGGTCCTAGAAAGAAAAGATCATTGTTCGGGGGGCCTGTGACCTGTCAGTTATAACAAACACAGATGCAGCACACAACCCTGTGAGTGTCATACAGGACTGAAAGTTTGAAGGGTCCATGCTCACTTGGAAGCTGAGTCCTTACCTCTGCCACTTGGTCTTGGCCCCAGAAACAGGCATAGTGCAGGGGCACGTTTCCATGCTCGTTCACTGCATTGATGTCAGCCTTGTACTGCAACAGCTACGCCCAGTGGCCAAGAAAGGAAAAAGGCACAGTCAGTCCCAGATGAGATACTGGTGTCAAGGCAAGTGAAAAAGAACAGTGTATTCTCCAGTTCACATTACAGTGTCTGTGACCGACTTCATGGCATGGATGTGATGTGGGTGAAGAAGGGTTTTCCCATACCTTCTGTACAATATCACGGTGTCCATGACTGGCTGCTAAGTGCAGGGGCGTATCATCCCCACGGTTCATCACATTGATCCGTGCTCCTCGCATGATCAGCATCTCAACCACAGCAGAGCGGCCTTCTCGGCAGGCCCAGTGCAATGGGGAGAAGCCATGATCATCCCTTTAAGAAAAGGGCATAGTCACTAAGCTGGAGTTAGAACAAAAGCCTTTATTCATTAAAGAAAAAAAATCTTCGAGAAGGCTTGCCTCTCTAGTGCCTCAGTTTTTATTCCTGTAAGCAATTCCCAAAGTTCAATTCAGATTTTCTTTAGTGTCACATCCAACCACCTACACACCCCAGCAACTATAAGATTATTTTCACAACCATCTCCCACAACTCCTTCCCTAGCAGTTCTATTTCATTAGATGGTAGCACTCTCCTAGGCTCTTCTGCATCCTTACCGTCCCTCACCTTTTTGACATTCCTGAGAATTGAACCCAGGACCTTGAACCTACTAGGTCTATGCTCTACCACTGAGCTACATCTCTGGCGTTCATAAATGTTATATAACACCTTTGTTCTCCACTGCTGCTTATACATCTTATGGTGTAGCACTTGTTGGACTGGATTGCAAAGATGTTAATGGTGTGCTGTTCATGCTTTTTTGTTTTTGAAACATAGTCTCATTGTGTAGCTCTGGCTGACCTGGAACTCTATGTAGACCAGGCTGGTCTTGAACTCACAGAACCACCTGCCTCTGCTGGGATTAAAGGGGAGTGCAACCATACCTGGCCCATATACTTCTTGAGGGCATAGACTGATAGTGTTAAATGCAGGTTAATGGGATAGAGGGTTATACTAGAGAAGACAGGCTGTAACTCATGGGAGAGGTAACAAGCTTACTATTTGGCTCTGGTATTGAAACTAACATCTAAAAATGGAATGGAATTAAAATATTTTGGAGGTTATAATGACAAGAAGACACTTTTGGTTACTGATGAGGCAGAGAACCAAACAGGAGAAAATGCAAATAGCAGCATTAGAATAGAAATTATATCTGACTTTTCTTCTCACAGACATGTATTTTATAAAGAAAGAGAAGTGTACAAACAAAACAATTGGGTGGGTTCAGTCAGACTGACAGCCTGGAGCCATAAAAGGAAATTCCCTCCAGTCCTGGGATGTAGATCTAAGGGGCGGAACAGGGGGCGGTCTGTGGTCTAGGCTGACAGCCTCCGGATGCCTTAGTGCTGTGGTCACTTCCTGTGAGGGGGCTGGAAAAGGGGCCTTGAGCTAAACCAGGGTTTGATCACCCAGAATCCCACAACAGCTGAAGGGGGTGGTGTTCCTCCAGTTTGCCATCATCTCATACAAAATGGCCAGAGCTTCCCCAGGATGTGGGTATCTCCCAGAAGCGATTCCATCTCTTGCTATCAGTCTTGTCCCCCAGACCTTTCCTGTGTGTTCTGACCTATCAGCTTCTAGCAGTTTGTGGCCTTAAAGCAAGCCCAGGCTTGAAAACAAAAGTATGAGCACAGGGTTTGCCTGCAGTCACACTGCCTGTCACTCAGAGCCTGGATTTTTATCTCAAGGAAGACCGCAAGGAGTTAACTACCTCCTTGTATCTAGCGTAGAGCCAGTTTGGGTTCACACAACATCCTCTCAAACCACCAAAACCTAGTTTCCCTGAGGGCACCCCTTTACCTTTTGACAGCGAATCTTTGAAGATGCCACTTCCACTGGACAACTATCTAAGCCCCCATTTCCTCACCAACAAAAGAGTTAACAGAGGTCAGTGTTTACCCCAGCACACTTCCAAGTTACATGAAAAATTAAACAAGTGACTTGGAATAAAATGATTCAGAAATAACATACAGCCTAATGGGAGCCAGTGAAGCCTGGACTAGGATGACAGATGGCCCTCTCAAACCTAGAAACAACTCTTATAGGCAGATGTAGTGACAACACACTGAAATCCTAGCCCTTAGGAGGCTGAAGAATGGAGAGTTGGAGGCCATCCTGAGCTACCTAAGGCTGTCTCCAAAAGCAAAACAAGAACCTACTAAACTCCCAGCATTAGGGTCACAACACTGCTCTGCTCACTTTCCTATCTCAGCCAACACTTTTTAAAAAATTTATTATTTTTATGTGTATGTGTGTATTGCCTGCGTGTAGGTAAGTACACCCGTGTCGTGCAATGACCGCGGAGGTCAGAAGAGGCTGTTGGATCTCCTGGGACTGGTGTTAAGGACACCTGTAGCTGCCATGTGGGTGCTGGGATTCAAACCCGGGTCTTCTGCAAGGACAACAAGTGTTCTTAACCTCTCAGCCAAAAGTTTAAAACATGCCGCCCACGTTTTCATACCTCCCATTCTCACCCTGCCCAAAGTCTGCCACCTTGAGGGCATAGATTACCAGGACTCTTAACACCAATTATAGGAGGTGTTTCTTACTTGAAGGAACCCAGTGTAATGTAGTTTACTCACTGCTACTCTGGAACAACACTCAGAAATCAAATCCATCCTAAATATGAAGACTTGTAAGATACTCATTATGTTCTTTAGCCTCTCTGTGGCCTATATTACCATGACCACTCCCCTTTCTTTTAAACATTTGTTCTCTGTCTGGAGAGATGGCACTGGCTGCTCTTGCAGAGGACCAGGGTACAATTCCCAGTACCCACATGGTGGCTAACAATCATCCATAAGTCCAGTTCCAGGGTATTTGATGCCTTCTGACCTCTGCAGGCACTGCACGACATAGGTGCACTTACACATAAAATAAAAATAATAAAATGTTTAAACATTTATTCTCGAAGCTTCTTTAATTCCTATTTCTCCTTCAGTGAGCTGCTCCCTTTCAGTATGCCAGGCTTCTCACCCCATGCCCATATCTTCCACTCTTCTAAGGCACCATTTTTTCACATCTGTGTCTTCAGGTACCATTTAAATGCTAAAATATATCTGTCTCTAAATTAGACCGTTCCTGACTTCAGATCTACATATCCAGCAACCTACTCAACATTTCTAAGTTGCTGTATGTCACCATGATTGTAATCAGTCCAGAAGGGAACACTTCACCCTCTCGTTTTCTCCCAGGTGCCCAAGCCTTCTGAACCCCGGTCATCTTTGACCTCCCTCACTTCCCACTCCAAGTCAATTCATTCTTTATCCTTATGATTTTGGGGCTCTCACCGTTTCTCATTTTGCACCTGTTCCAATTCTAGTCCAAAGCATCACTTCTAGGATCGACTAGACAACCTCCTCCTATCTGCTCTTCACAAAACATCAAAGATGACACCTAACAATGGACAATCTCATCACTACACAGCTTCAAAGCCTTGCTTGCAGACCTCTTCTGTCCCTTTCCACTTCTGCCTAATGCTCTAAGGCCACAGAAATGTAGCCTCCAACCACATCTAATTCCAGATAGTTTCCTGGCACTCTGGTCTGCCTTTGACATAAATTCACTGAGCCTGGGAAGCTTCCTGCAAACCCCTGATTGTGAGATTTATTCAGCAGTCAAAAACTTAGCTCAAACAGCTTCCTCTGTATAGACCCTCTTCCCCAAACAGGCTGTACTTAGTACTCAAAACGTGATAGCAAAGTTAGGTGTCCCGGCCGGACGTGAGGACCTCAAGCAGTCGAGTTCTAGCCGTCCTCCCACCCAGCCACTTCAGCTCACCCCTGATTGAGGTCGTTCTCAGTGTTGTCCAGCCACAAGCGAACGGCCACCGCGTTGCCCTCCCGGCACTGGGTGAAAATGTCGTCCATAGCGGCGTCCCGGAGCGGAGACCCCGGGGCTGGGGAAGCCTGGGGACTGGGTGGGGGGAGATCCAGAGACAAACGATGAGCCCAGCTCTGTTCCCTGCAGGAGTGCTGTGCTGGGTTGGGGGCTGGGCGTCGCCTGGGGGATACTGGTGGTCTGCAAAGGACTTTGGGCAGCGCGATGATCCCGTGGACACGAGGGACAGGCGAGTCCAGCGGAGTAGGGGAGACTCAGAGGCGGCCTCTCCTGGGCCGAGGTCGGAGAGCAGGCACCGAGTCCCTGTCCGCGAGCAGCGCCCGGGAAAGGGGAGGGGGCCTCGGGCTCCGAACACCCAAAGAGGGGACAGGGGTCCTTCCCGAGCGGTCCCAGATTCCCTGCTCGGAACTCCTTCCAAGTTATCAGTGACACGCCTGGCCGGCCCAAGCCAGGGGGCAGGGGCGCGGGTCCGCCCGCACTCACCGGGACTCGGGCCGCAGGCGCCTTCTCCGGGGAACTCCCGTCCGGCCGCGCCCGCCGCCCGGCCCCGCCCCGGCCCTCTCCGGCCAGCGCCGGCGGCCGTCCCTCCCTTCCGACCTCCTTCCGCCCTTCTAGCCCGCCAGCGGCTGCACTCGATGGTAGCCGGCTCCGCGCCGGCCGCTCTAGCCGCCGTCGACTCGTTGGTTTCCGGCTCCGCCAGGCTGGTGGCGACGTAGCAACTCGGGACATTTGTTGCACGTGGGTCGGAGCGTGGGATTCGTGGTCGTTGCTCACCGCACGCATGTTCGAGGAGCCTGAGTGGACCGAGGCGGCCCCAGCAGCCCTGGGTCTCGGGTCTGTAACCATTCAGCCTCGGCCGGTGGCTACCCCGCAAATCAAGGTGAGTGGCCCGGGACTGGGTTCTTTCCGGCGGCGAATCAGACCCTGGAGGGTCCCAGCTCAGGGTTCGGCTTTGTGCTGGGTAGAGGGGCGAACCAGCAATGTCATCAGGGGTGGGAGCGGTTGAGTCCTGATCTGAAGATCCGGGAACGTCCCCTAACAATGACGTTAAAACGTAGTTAGTGAGAAGTTGGTGTAGAGGACGGGGGTTGGGGCGCGGGGGACGTGCCGAAGCCGGGAAGCGATAGGACACACACCTGGTGAGAGTGCGCCCCAATGGGGATGCAGAGTTCGGGGAGTGGAGCACAGACTAAATGAAAGGAGATGTGTTTGAAGGTTAGATTAGAAGTGTTGCGTATATTGAGGATAGAAGTCAATGAAGTGGTTTTGATTTCTCAAATTTTCTCTCACCTGGCATCGCTTTATATGCTGGAGATCCTTCCAGGGCTTCAGCATGCCAGGCAAATCCTTGACAAGGTGTATTGATTGCCCTTAGCAATGGCTGGGAAGGTTGTGGGTATCACTATTCAAGGGAGGCTAATGGGAACCCAGTACCTCCAAGGTAAGTGCCTGGCCCAGGACCACCAGAACAAGTGAGGCTCCCAGAAAGTAGTCCTTTTCCTTTTGGCCTCAGCATCAGTGAGGACTGCTGTACCTCCTCAAGCTATTCTTGACCTGCAGTCAGCCTCCAACATGCCATCTGCCTGCTTTGTTTCTTTTCATCTCTGTAGCCCATCCTCCTAATCCAGGCCTCCGGTCTGCCTGTGTGCAGATTTCTATACTACAGCTGGTGGTATATTTAATAGACAGGTGTGAGCCTATCCTTCCTGTGTTCAAGAAAACTCTGTGGCTCAGAGAATGCTGTCAAATAAGAGCAGAACTGAACTGCATGCGGGAACTCCTGGCTTGCCTTGGTCCTGTTTGTGGCTTTAGCACATTTCTCTGGGCAACTTAGATTGCCATCATTTACACATTAAGAAGTATACCAATCTCTGTGAGTTCCAAGGAAGCCAGGGCTACACTACACAGTAAGACTCTGTTTTAAAGACAAAAAAAGTAGAATGAATGCTTTCTGTCCTCCAGCTTTCCAAAGGAGGGGTGGCAACCTGAAAGTTATTCTAGATCTGGCAGACTTCACAACAAACTAAATTGGGAAAAATTAGGAGTGTCTGAAGCAGATCCCTATTCTTTCTTGTTCTCTAGACTCATCCATTCTCATTCTGTTTTCTTCAGGGCCGCAAGCGCCGTCACCTCTTGGCCATATTACGGACGTTGGAAGCAGCGTCTCTTTCTCAGCAACCTCCTAGCCTTCCTAGCAGTGACTCTGAGGAAGAAGAGGTAGAGAAAAAGAAACACCCCCAAAAGGGCTCATTTGCCAGCGCCTCTAATTTAGTAAGGAAGAAAAGAAAGAAGAAATGTCAAAACCAGGACTTATCTCTCAGTGACTCTGAGGACAAGGAAGTAGAAAGGAAGAAGTACTGCCCACAAGCACTTCTTGGTGATAGCTGTGCTGGAGAAGAAAAGGGAAAGAGGAAATGCCAGAAGCATGCCCCTTTACACCCAGCCCAACACCTGGGGAGCATTGACCAAACAGGTACTGCTACATGTGTCTGTGGAGTGTGGCAAGGGTGTGAGTTGACTGTACTATTGTCTGTACACACACCAGGGGTTAGACAAAAAGAAGCACTTGTATCCAGGTCACAGTCTCTGTCTTAAGGACAAAGCTATTGCTAGGATGACTTCTGTTCCCGGGAAGACGTGAACAAATGTCTACTCATCCCGAATAGGGAACTAATGACAGACCAAAGTAAGGAGACCACCCAAATCCAACTTGGTGACCAGTGAATTTATTACAGTTCACTTACAGGAGTATGGGTGTGAGGTTACCTACAGGAGCAGAAATGACTCAAAGACAGGTGAATCGCCAAAGTCTACCTTAGCATAGGTGGTGAGTCTTGAAAGCTAGAAACGTGAATTCCACTGCATAGCTTTCTGGAATAGGGCGGATTGGAGACTCCAGTGTCTCTTTTAGCAGCTCAGGTGGTCTGAACCTTTCTCCCAAGCAGCTTAGCTGGTCTGAGAGTGTCCTAGGCAGCTCCTGATCTGAAGTATTTGTCAGCAGTTCCTACTGCTTGACTATCCTGAGTCTTAATGAGCCTCCCTCCAAGATGGCTTTATCTCGGGGGTGCCTCTGAATTTAGGGGATCCAGCCTCAAATAATGCCTTTTTTTGGGGGGTCTTTTTGAGACAGGGTCTCCCTGTAGCCCCAGCTGTCCTGGAACTCACTATGTAGACCAGGCTGGCCTTGAACTCACAGAGATCTGCCTGCCTCTACCTCCCAAGTGCTAGGATCAAAGGCGTGTGCCCCCATGCCCGGCTAAATAATACCTTCTTATCTCCTTCCCCACAGGTCAGAAAGCCTGGAAGAGTACTGCTACAAATGACACACCCAAGCCAAGCCCCGAGTCCACGTCTGCTAATACCCCACACATCTTGAGTCGCAAACAGTGGCGAAACCGGCAGAAGAATAAGCGGAGACACAAGAACAAATTCCGGCCACCACAGACACAAGACCAGGTTCCTGCTAAGGCTTCCGCAGAGGAGGCTGAGGTGCCTCCTGCTCCAAAATCAGACAGCCAAGAGGCTAGAGCTGGGGCCCTGCGAGCTCGCATGGTACAACGGCTGGATGGGGCACGATTTCGTTACCTTAATGAACAGCTGTACTCAGGGCCCAGCAGCACTGCACAACGCCTCTTCCAGGAAGACCCTGAGGCTTTTCTCCTCTACCACCGTGGCTTTCAGAGACAGGTGAAGAAGTGGCCACTGCACCCAGTGGACCGTATTGCCAAGGATCTTCGCCAGAGGTGATTAGGGAGTTGGACACTGTGAGGCTCAATGGGGGCCCCCACTCAAAGGCTCAGACCAGTATGTGACCCTTCCTTCCACTCACAGGCCGGCATCCTTGGTGGTTGCTGACTTTGGCTGTGGAGATTGCCGCCTAGCTTCAAGTGTCCGGAATCCTGTGCACTGCTTTGACTTGGCCTCTCTGGACCCCAGGGTCACTGTGTGTGACATGGCCCAGGTACACCCCTCTGTATCTGGCCTGTGTTCACTCTTAACTCTTCCTCCCTGTCTCCCCAACCTAGTGTCCAGTTCAAGCATGAAATGCTGAATTCTCCTTATAGCACTATGTGTTCATCCAACATGCCCCTTCTCCTCAGGTGCCTCTGGAGGATGAGTCTGTGGATGTGGCTGTGTTTTGTCTTTCACTGATGGGAACTAACATCAGGGACTTCCTTGAGGAGGCAAATCGAGTACTGAAGCCAGGGTGAGGCCCCAGGACACAGATGCATGTTTGTATGTATGCATTTGTCTGCATATTTGCTCAAGACTTCTTCCTTTTCCAAGGGGTCTCCTGAAGGTAGCTGAAGTCAGCAGTCGCTTTGAGGATATTCGGTTGTTTCTGGGTGCTGTGACCAAGCTGGGCTTCAAGGTCATCTACAAGGTAAGGGTCCCAAGGAGTCCATCTTGTTTCAGGATACTGGTGTTCAGGAAGGAAGCCTTAACCACAGGACAGACATTTTTCTCCCTGAAGGCACAACTCTAAGGGGGAGCTGTGAGAAGCTCTCTGAGCACCGGAAATACATAGAGAGGTACTCTGAGGTGTTGGGGTGAGAATTTGTAGCTCACTGGTGTTTTTTGCTTCTAGGACCTGACCAACAGCCACTTCTTCCTGTTTGACTTTGAAAAGACTGGTCCCCCTTGTGTAGGACCCAAGGCTCAACTCTCAGGCCTGAAGCTTCAGCCATGTCTCTATAAGCGCAGGTGACCCATGGGCACCCCTTGAAAGGGGAAGCGGAGCTCTGACTGTAGGTTCAGAACTCTGAAGACTGTGTCCAGCCAGGCTGTAAGCCAGGACTTGCACCACCCTCCTTCCAGCACAAGAACAAAGTGTGGTAAAGCCTCTGGCTCTACTCTACTCTGACAGAGCCTTCTTGGTTACAAGAAGTGTGAAGTCACTCAGATAAACTAAAGAATAAGGAGTTTATTATGAGAACTTGGGTATATCTGAGAATTGGGGAGCATCTCAGCTCCTCTTTCAGAAGGCACAGGGGTCTTTTCTCCACAGTGCCATTTTCTGACCTGTCCAACCTCTGTTCATCCATAGTTTCTGCTCCCTTAGCTTTAAGACTGCAGACAGGCAAGTTCTGATTCTGACTTGCCACTTGGAGCTGGGAGTCCTTTCATTTCTTTTTATCTTTTTTTTTGAGTCAGCATCTCACACTGAAGTCCAGGCTAACCTCAAACTCCTGACAGTTCTGCCTCAGCGTCCTGATTATTGGAATTACAGGTGTGAGCCACCACATCCAGTTAAGAGAATCATTTGATTTCTGGATATTCTGTTTCTCACTTGGAAAATGTAAAGTTCTTATAGCGGTGTTGTATTAATGGAGGAAGTCTGTAAAAGGTGCCAAATAAGCTAGCTATGGCTGCTATGTGTTATAAATCTTACTGTTCTTGGAAGATTATCCCTAGATAGGGTTGGAAGTTGGAAGGAAAATAATGTATTTATGTTTGAGGAAGACTGGGAGAGTTCAGGATAGACCTGTCATTTCATGGGCTTATTTCATGAACTATTTAGAGACTGATGGATTCAAAGCTTTCCTTAGAAGGGGGTAGTGAAAGAACTAGAGCTGTGTTCATAAGCAATAGCTGGTTGCTGCCATGCTTGGGGTGGAAGGTTAGGCTGTACATAGCAGAAGCATCTGTCCTGGTGTCTTCCTTGTACTGCACACAAATCAGCATGTCCTAGAAAAACTGCAGGAAGGCAGGCTAGTGCTAAGGGAAGATGAGCTAGGATGACAGGTGGTAGACCTCACCTGGAAAAGATCTGCTGTGGATCCAGGCATAAAGGTACAGGCTTTAATGCCTGTTCCCCAAAACAAGACCTGAGTGCCCACTGGGGCATACAAGTCCAGGATTTTGAACCAAGTGGATTCCTCAGGGCAAGCACTATGTGAAAAGTGCTTCCTTAGCATGCAAGTGCTGTTTTGTGGCTAGTTGTGCATTTCACTGCAGCCTCTCAACCATATTTGTCTATTTCCAGAGCTTGTTGTGTGTGTTTGCCTGTGTGGCAGCAGGGGTTAAGGGACAACAGAGTCTGTGGTGGTTTGAATGAGAATGTCCCCCATAGGCTCCAAGTATTTGGACATTTGGTCCCCAGTTTGTAGTGCTGTTTGGGGAGGGTCATGGAACCTTTAGGAGGCATGGCCATGTTGGAGGAAGCACATCACTGGGGGTGGGGGGCAGGCTTTGGAAAGTTCTTTTAAAAATATTTTATTCATTATTATTTTTATTTTATGTGTATGAGTATATTGTGTGCACGGGTGTAAGTACACCTGTGTCATGCAATGCCCGTGGAGGTCAGAAGAGGGCATCAGATCCCCCGGAACTGGAGTTAGAGGCAGTTGTTAGCTGTCATGTGGGTGCTGGGAATCAAACCCAGGTCCTCTGCAAGAGCAGCCAGTGCTCTTAACCACGGAGCCATCTGTTCAGCCCCATGAGAGTTCTTAAGCCTTGCTGCATTTCCAGTTTTTCTGCTTCCTGTGCCTTCTTAAAGATGGGATCACTTGGCTTTCTGCTCTGGCCACCTCCTGCCGCCATGCCTCCCCGACAATTATGAACTGCCATTATAGACTCTAACCCTCTGGAACTGTAAGCCAAATAAACAATTCCTTCTGTAAGTTGCCTTGGTCGTGGTGTTTTATCACAGCAACAGAAAAATAATGCAGGGTCCAGTTGACTAGGCTTAATGAAAATAGGAGCAGAAACAAAGTTTGGCATAAGATAAAGGTCCTGTGACCTAGTGATGGAAGAAGTAGGCCAGCAGGAGACCCTCAAGATGAAGTTGGTGGGGTGTTGATGGTGTTTGTGAGAAGTAAATCTGCAATAACCTGGATAGGCTGGGGGTACCCTTCAAAATGTTGGATTTGGGGGCTGGGGAGATGGCTCAGTGGTTAAGAGTGCTTACTATGCAAGCATGAGAACCCAAGTTCAGGTCCCCAGTACCAATGTAAAAGCTCATGTTTATAACCCAAGAGCTGGGAGGAATAGGGGGTGTGGAGATGGAGGATGGTAGTCAGAAGGGGAAGGGCTGCTGGCCAGTCAGCTTGGCCAAACAATAGTAAGTTCCAGATTCAGTAAGAGACCCTGCCTCAGGGTAATCGGTGGGCAGTAATAGAGCCAGCCTCTTGACTTCCTCCTCTGGCTTCCTTACCTGCACATGCACACACATACCCTGTCTCAAAAAAAAGAAAAATAAGAAAGTATGGGACAGACATGAGATCTGCCATGGATGTGAGGATTTAACGTAGAGGTTACAGTAAGTCTCAGAAACAGATATCCAGGGTCAGATGATGAAAAGGAAAATAGTTCAGAATAGAACTCAAGAGTAATGTTTAATGGGCAGATGAAAGAAAATAAGCTAGTAAAGGTGACAAGTTGAGAAAGGTCAGCCAGGCTTAGAGGAGAGTGGGTGTATTTATTTAGAGGAATGGAATGAGCACATTGTGAGTTATCACATGCTCCTGAGAGGTCTGAAAATGAGAGAAAAGTCACACTGCAGTGGGAGGAGTGTTACTGAGGAATGTAGACAGTAAGTTTGAATTTACAGTGGCATTTGTGAGGTTATAGTTAACACTAATTAACCCAGCACTGTGATTGTCCCTACCTGAGAACTGAGGTCTAAAGAGAAGTGAGTTCATCTAGAGTTCATTTTATGTAGATAAAATTAAAGGACAGCAAGCAAAGGAGTTCTAAGCTATCCACAGTGCAAGGGATAGCTGTGCTGGTTGGTGAAGTTTTGTAGAAGGTAATAGGTGGTTGTATGAAAGTAATTGGAACAAATGACCTGGAAAGATGGGAGGCTGCCATCAGAAGTTGGAATGCTTGAATTCTTTACTTTGGAAACAGCAGCTCCAGGTGACAGGAAATACAGGGTGTAGCCTCAGTTATGAGTGCCTGAGACATGCAGGGGAAGTTGCCTGGAGATTGGCTAGTGAACTGTGGGGATTGTGGGAAGGGATTGTCTGATTGCCTGCAGGGATTTTGATACACTCTTAAGATGATAGAAGCCCTTAAAAGTGCCTTTGAGGGACTGGAGAGATGACTCAGCAGTTAAGAGCACTGACTGCTCTTGCAGAGGACCAGGGTTCAATTCCCAGCACCCACATGGTGGCTGTGAACTGTCCTTAACTCCAGTTCCAGATGAATCCGAAACTTTCTTGTGGTCTCTGTGGCACTGCATAACATGGGTGTACTCACATACATGCAGGCAATACACTCATACATAGAAAATAAAGATAATAATTTTTTTTTTTTAAAGTGCCTTTGAAACAGGTTCCAGCTTTTTGATGAAGGGAGAGAATGCAGGAGATGCTCCAAAGGCGGGGAGAGTCCGAATGCCATGAGTTTTGAAAGAGCAGAACATTTACCTAGCTCATAAGAAAGACATGCATGTTAGGGTAATGAGACTAGTGAATGGAGCCAACTGCCAGGTGTGCAGTACAGTGAGCTGACCATCCTCCAACCTGTCAGTTCATGGGGTATCCTAGAGGCTTTTTGGGCAGCTCCAATGCATGTAGGATATACATCATCTTTTAGCTCCTTATTTGTGTTTCCCCAGTTATAGGTAGTTCGAGAGCTGGATTGTTTTTTTCTTGTGTTCAACTAGAAGGTGGAGTCTGTTTTCCTTCCTCCCTTAGCCTATTCTGACTCCAGTCTTCTGAGCCAAAAGCTCTGAATCTGATTCAAGCCCCAGGCTCCCTACAGAGCCTAGTTCCCATCAGCTACCTTGATTCCAAAAGCAGACTCCTGAGCCCAATCTGAATCCTCCCTGCTTCATCATCAGCTTCAGGACAGAGTCTGGGCTTCTGTGTCTAATATTAAGAGCCTAGACTAAAGAGAGAACAATATGTATTTCCTTGAAAAAAAGCAGCATGCCTAGTTTAAGGACTAGAAGGCTGAGGCTAGAACAGATTGAAGGAGGGAGCAGAGTGTTAGGAGGCAGTGGTTGGGGTTAAAGGGAATTTGACAATGGCTTTCAAACTTTGGGGTGCACTAGAATCACATCAACATTCGTTACAATGCCGATTCCCCAGCCATCTCTTGCAGATTCTGGTTCAGTAGATCAGGATACAGCCCTAGAAATTCTTTTCTGGTGGCTTTGATTTTCTCCATGAAGTAGAAAGCAAAATTTATTCATTGAGCGTGAGAATGGGGATTTTGAGAGGAGGAATTTCATTTCTAGGGGAGGAAAAGAGAATGAGGGAACTAAGGAAATGTAGGCGTCCTGGCAGCGTCAGCACACAAAGTTCAAGCCTAAGAGGGTGTGGAGAGAGCTGGTGACTCTCTGGGCTGTCAGAACCCTTGTCACTTCACAGGGGAGAGAGGACCAGTTTTCTGCCCTCTTTAAGTCTAGCTAGGGTCTACTGGAACCATTTGGGAAGCATGAAATATTTATTCCTACAGCTGAGGACTCATGAACCTGGCGTCTTACTCCTGCCCTGGCAAAAGAACAAGGGGAAGCTCAGTAGCTGTTCTGATGGTGAGGCCATGGAAAGCTGCTGCTACGGCACTGGCTTGCATTTCCAGAATGTGCCCTAGCCACACACAGCATATGAGTATCTTCTGTGCACCTTGCAGGAAGTATGGGGCAGGCTTGGATCCTGTCCAGTGGGACTGTTTTGAAGATTTAAAGAGACTCCATAAGAAGTGAGGAGTGGCCAGGCATGGTGGTGCACGCCTTTAATCCCAGCACTCTGGGAGGCA